CTCCCTCCCTCCTTCCCCCCCCCTCTCTTTCCTCTCCAGGACCTGGAATTCTGAGCATGAGGAAAACCTAGGAGACCTTCAGTTTGCTTTCAACCTGCGATTTTATTCTACTTGTGAGAGGCCCTATAGCACAGTGATGAAATCCCTAACACTGGCACTAGATTGCCTCAGTTTTAATCCTGGCCCTGCCACTTTGTAGATCTGTAACCTTGGGCAATGTATTATAGTTTCCTATTGTTGCTCTAAAAAATGACCACAACTGTACTGGCTTAAGACAACACAAATGTATTGTTACAGTTCTGGAAACCAGCATGCTGAAATCAGTTTCACTGGGCTAAAATCGAGGTGATATTTCTCCTGGAAACTCTAGGGGAGGATCTATTTCCTTGCCTTTTCTGACTTCTAGAAGCTGCCTGTATTCCTTGACTCCTGTTCACATCGCTCCAAACTCTGCTTCCATCTCTTTTTCTGACTCTCTAAAGGATCTTTGTGGTTATGCTGAGCCCACATAGATAATCCAGGATAATAACCCCATCTCAAAATCCTTAACTTACTCACATCTGCGAAGTCCCTTTTACCCTGTAAGATAAATTCAAAGGTTCTGAGGATTAGGACACAGACATCTTTGCAGTGGGGGTGTTATTGAGTCTATCACAGGAAAGTTACTTAAGCTATTGTTGCCTCGGTTTCTTCATATGTAAAACAAGGACCATAGTCTCTGCAAGATAATCTTCATGTGTGAGTTAATTCATGTAAAGTGTTTAGAAGAATATTTGGTACAAGGTAAATGTTGGATGTATCAATCATTATTTTCCTTTTTTGTTTTTTTTTTTTTTTAGGATGACATGGGATAAGTTCAGGGTTAGGAGGTGCTACTGCACCAGCACCACTGTATTTCTTTCTCTCCTAGGGAAGCTCATCCTCACATGCCACTCAGAAACTTTTGTCCCACTTTTTCCGCATGTCCATATTTCTTGGCCCAGACTCAAAACACTGAGTAGGTCACCTGGTCCACAACAATAATATATATTGGCAATGTTATCTCATTTTTCACTTCATTATTTGCCATTTCCAATATTCAAGCGACTATTTGGGGTATTGTTTTTGCTGCTTCAGTAATCTTCCTGCTTAATGAACGCACGAACCAGCCTAGCTGGAAAATGCAGCCTATCTCAGTCCCCACCTCACATTTCTAGGGCTAGCTACAACTTTCTTTTCTTCCCAATACCTGATATGATTTATTTAGTTATTTATTTGATGCTTGCTGATTATCTCCACCCACGAGTATAAAAGTCTCTTGAAGGCAAGGAATCTGTTGCTCTGTATCCCAGCAATTAAAACAATGTCTGACACATAGTAGGTACTCAAATAATGTATTTGTGGGTCATCTTTACCTTTAGAGAGACAGGAGAAAGCTATGTATAGCTCCTGCCTTCGCCGCAAAGACCAAAAATTCCCACACAGCTCTGGCTGCACTGACCCTGGAAAGAAGAGGAGTTAGCAGGCCCTGTTCGATTCAAAGTTTTCTGGAGGCCTATTTTGATACTCAGAGTGCTACAAGCACTGTGGTAAAGTAACAAGAGAACTGGGTTAACAATCAAAAGTCCTGGCCTTGAATTTAGGTTCTTTTACCCTAAAGACAATGAGGGTATTTCATAAAGTTCTTGGAAAGATTCATATTAGCTTTCTATTCCACTTTTCCATGAACTTTTTGAAGTACCCTAGTATAACATTGAACAGGTCATTTAACTTCAGCCTTCTCATTTGTTAAAAGGGTACAAAACTCTACAAACCAATATTAATATGTACACCCTGTTCTAAGTCCTTAAAGAGTTATACTTTTCTCTCAATATGGCCATTTACAGAAATGTTTGCTGACCTCTCTGATATATCAAAATATAAAGTAACTTGAGTTTACACTCATTTACTTTCATTTAAAATTTAACAAATTTAACATTGAGCAAAGCATTTAACATGTTAGCCTTTTCATCTATGAAATCAGAAAGAAGTGTTATAAACTAGTTTTCATATATGTACCTTAGCCCTATACCCTTCAAGGGTTTTTCTAAAATTCTTTCATCTCATCAACTATAGTTTTTAAATTCCTAGAAACTTAAACCTATTTTGCATGCCTAATCATTCACACCTCACACATATTTGATGCCTTTGAGTTTGAATTTTAGTCATTGTCTAAAACTGAAACTCAAGTATAGTTTCAGTTCTCATGCTGAGAACCATGAATTTGTAATATATTGGTTATAGTTCTTGTTCTTTCCCAGGAGCAAAGTCTTCTGGTTTTCTTACTTGTCCTTTTCTTGAAGTCATGATCTTCTAATCGCAACTCTGAAGGACGTTCTAGGTTCTTTGGATTGACTGTTTCTAAGGAGAGATTGCCTGCTTGTCCTTCACAAGTATTCATCCTTGGAAATGTCAGGAGAAAACTGACTTCATCTTTCCACTTTCCATTTTTTTTCTTAGCAAATAGCTCCTAAGAGAGAAAATTATCCAAACACACCAGTGCAGAGATTTTCACCAAGTAATGCCAGCCCACTGGTTGCTACAGTATTAGTGAAGACATAACCTTGCAAGGCAGACACAGGCTTTTTCGTTTGATTTGTTCCGTGTCCTCAGACCACTGTGACGGCTAACTAGACAAAAGGACACTTATCAACCACACCTGTCATGTGCCGAGTTTGTCCACAACTGCAATTTGGATATTTACGCTGACTCATTGTGTGATGACCTTGGCCAGTTTGGACACCTGCTCTGCAGAATCCATTATCTGTTTCAACTCAGGGTGGGAGTAAAGCCTCTCTGCCTGCCTGCATGCAACCTTCAACCTCAAAGTAAAGCAGTTTTCACTAAAGGATGTAGGAGTGAAGTACAGGTAGGGATAAAGCCAGGTAAAATTGTAAAACTGACCTTTGCAAGCTGCACTTGTCCTCGGAAGAAATGATATGAATTTTCAATCTTAGCTTAAAAGAGCTGAAATGCCTTAGAATTCAGTTCCTTCAATAAACAGGTGAAAGGGAGTAACAGTAGTGTTTTCCCTATTTTTCAAGATATCAGGTAAACGTGATTATAGACGAATAGTAGCTGATTGCCTCCCTCCTCTTCCTTTCCAAGACCCAGAATGTCTAAAGCTATATTTACGGAAGAATTAATAGGCTTTAGCTGCTGATTTATGAATCCCCCTAAAGAAGATCAACTCATCATTATTTATTTATTTTCTCCAGATGAGCTACAACTAAGGTAATCGGCTGCCGTAGGGGTCACATAGTTGCTGAGCTGAAATTACGGCTCTCACACTCACTGTAATCCTGTAATATTCTCAAATCAGCTTTCCAAATCAGTCAATCGCTGCTTTCAAGGAAAAGATGTTCATCACATCCACTTATTTTACCAAATCTACCAATTTTGAATTCATCCCAATACCAGATGTTGATCAAGTTGCTTAATTAATAAATTCAATAAATTCATCTGACTGGCAGATTTACTCCATTGATCTGAATGGTCAATTTGAAAATTGTTGCTCCATTAGTCCACATAGCTTGTCCACTAATGGCAACGGTAATTTTAGTTACAGACTTCCCCTTTATTGGGGTCTGGGACCGTTGTAATATTGCCCTCCTAGGATACTGCCTTCTTTTCCCTTCCAACTTTTCTT